GGAGAAGACGTAGCATCATGGCCCTCTGACGGCCAAAGTGGCCAACATAATAATAATTATTATTATTGTTATTATTATTATTATATATATATATGCACACACACGCATGCGAGATCCAATCTCTTGAGCTCCGCACACGGGAGTGGCACTCAGCATCCCGGCGGCGGCAGCCGCGGCCCCCGCTGCACCGCTGACCTGCCCGAAGGCGGCGGCCAGGAACACGCGCATGGCCTCGAAATTTTAGGGGATTAGGGTTTAGGGTTTAGGGTTTGGGGGTTTAGGGTTTAGGGGTTTAGGGTATAATAACATAGGTAAAGGAGACTACAGGTGGGATACAGGGCTTCTATAAGGCTTCTATAAGATATATAGCCCTTCTATAAGGCTCCTATAACGGTAACTACCCACCTGAAAATGTCCTAGACATAGTAGTTATCTAAGTTATATATGATACATGGTTGAGTCATTGAGAACATATCTATACATTCTTCTGTACTCATGTATATATCTGTATACCAGAATAGAATAGAACAGCACAGAACAGAAGATGATAGAAGAGAACATAACAAAACAGAGGATAGTAGAATGGAACATCATGGAATATGCACAACAGCTTGCATGTGCAATGGGCCCCCTGCTGCGCGCTTCATTGCGATGGACTTCGGCTTTAAAACCTTAGGGCCTTTGCCTGGCTCAAGCCGAAGTGTCTGCACGAACCTGCGGATTCAGGAAGAAGGCTTCGGTGGGAGGGCAGTGCACGGATATGTAGAAAACTTCGGACACCAGAAACCTTTTGCCAACGGAGAAAGCATCACTCTTGTGTGAAACTGGGGCTCACCAGTGCACCGCACAAGAACAGATACATGCTGAGCTACTGCCTCCTCCACACCTCCAAGTGCTGAGTGAGCCAAGTGAAACATTCGTGAATGTATCACTGAAAGACACCAGCCAACACCTGCGCAGCAGCTATATGGGTACTGTAGGGGTCCTGTCTCTGCCTTGGCGGCACCTTGCCGACCGTGTACACGAAGAAGCCCAGAATGGCAGGCAGAAGTGCCGGCTGCAGGTGCAGCTCGGCGATTTCCGGGACCTCCAGGAAGCACTCACACATGACGGGCCGCCAGCCACAACCAAGCCGGGCTTTCCTGCGCTTCTATCCGTGGCCACCCCTGCACGATGAGGAGGACAATGACCGGGGTCTGAGCAACGGTGCACATGTCGCACTAGGTCGCACTCCTGCGGCCACCGCCTCTCGCAACTTTTTGTTCTGCCCGGTGCCATCTGTCGCGAACGCGTCGGCATCTACTCTAGCTCGAAGTCTGCATACAGTGGCAGGTGGTCCGACGGATGTTCCTGGAAGGCTGCAGCATCTCTGGAATCCACAAGAACCATGCAAGCTGCTTTCGAAGGCGACAGCATCTACTTGCTTGGAACCCTAAGTAAGCGCCGCAACAAGAGCAGGATAGATTATAGAGGATGTCAATGAGTTGGGATCAGCTGCTGGTTGGACTGGCTTTGCAAGTCGTCCTCTTCTTGAGAAGCTTGAGCAGGCCCTCTCGGCTGGAGGCGGGGCCACTTGCAGGTTTGATTTCTTGAAACCCTCCCAAACCCCCAACCAGAAGACTGCAGCCAGCTCAGATCACAGCAGCTTAACCCATCTGATCCCTTGTGAATTCATCTCACCGTCATCTCATTTCGCCCTGCAGTAACTCTCAGCATGATGCTCCAGCACTGCTATTCAGCTTAGGGGATTCGGCACAACTTTCGTTTTGTCGATGTGTTCTAGTGTTTGGGATTGGAAGCTTCTGATGGGCAAAGGTTCACGAGTTCAGTGTGAGAGTGTGTTTTAGCGGTCGGCGGTCACGCATGCCTAGTCGTCAAACGCAGCAACAGTCTGTTTGCATCGCAGACGTGCGGTGTGCATGTCATGTGATAGCAGGCTTCTGCGCATTTCTCCATGGCTCAGCCTTGACGGCCGGCATCGTCTATCCGCGTTGAGGTGCTGTGGGCTGAGGTCGCCAGTCGCACAGGTGACAGAGTGGAGGCGGTGGAGGTGGCGGAGGTCCATCATGCATACATTTAGCGAACAATCCGAGGGAACCCCAGTCCTCTGATGGCAGCTGCTCGGGCAACTGCTCCGGCAAAGGATGCACTCCACGCAACTGTAGACCTGTACCTGGAGGCATCAACAAACGGTCGCGAAGCCGAAAAATAACATCATGGACAAAGGCGATGTGATCACGAGAAGAAACGAACGGCGCACCTCGGTATAGGATGTAGTCGAGGCAGCCCTGAAAATCCTTCGTCAGGTTCGTGACCGCCTGCTCGCAGCCTCAGAGGACGGCGCCGCCAAAACTCACTGCGTTGCAACGGACGGAAGTTGGTCATATTTGGTGCCCATACAGTTTAGGAACATGCCACAGCACCGACAAAGCCAAATCTTTTTTGAACAACCCTCAGATGAAGATCAGCAGCCCAGGGCTTCCTTGTAGGCGCTGTGAAATGGTGATACTCGAAGATCCGGCACGTCCTGCTCACATCGAAGGCACCCAGACCTCCTTTTCTGATGCTTCCACGGCTCCTCCGTGCCGACGCCGCGAAGGATTCCGCTCCCAGGTCTCATCCGCACTGGATGATGTGGATGCAGGGCAGACACTCTGCCTCCGATTCTCAGCTGCCCCACAGCTTTGAGTTCTTGAGACCCAAGGTACGTAAGAAAAAACGGCGGGGCCTGTCACTAGAAGCTCGTAGACGCCTGAGAGGTCTCCCTCGCCCGAGCTGCGGCCATCTGCCAAAGGAGTGCCTCGGCTCATCCTGGGTTTGGGGTTTAGGCTTCAGGGTTTAATTGGGGTTTAGGGTGATTCCCATCGCTCTACTGTTGCAGCAGAGTCTCTGTTCAGATCTCCGGCCAGGATGAGATCTCCGGCCGCCACGGTTTCGAGCTCACGCGCCAGGAGGAAGGCCTCAGCTGTCGGAGGCACCACTGAGGGCTCCATCTCCTACCCTCACAGCCTGCCGTTTTAGTCTATGTCTATGACCGAGAAAAAAAGAGCCCAGGCCTGTGTTACAGCAAGGACCTTGGCGCAAGAAGTAAGGCTTCTCGGGTTCAGGATCTTCAAACCCTTCCCCAAATCTTTCCTTACATCGGGGCGGAAAGATTAGTGCCACTAGACGCTAGAGACGGTTCAAAATGCTTCCATGGAGCTTGCAGCAGCTTCAAGTCTGGATACCGCGGGTCCCAGTACAGGTGACTGGTTGAGATCTCAGCGGCAAGGGAGCCAAAAGGCAAAACAGGGACAGACGCCAAGTCTCGATGCAGAATGCAGACCGAGCGGCGCAGAGCTTCCTGCCAGGTGCAACCCGCAAAGATTTTGTTGCCCTCCCTCACGTCACTTTTCGGTGCCTTCCGGAGGTCTCGGCAATTTCGACGGCCTCGGCACAATCACCCGATGAGCAGAAGCGAGAGTTGCGGCATCTCAGAAGAGTGCCAGTGCCCCTGAGGGCGGAACGACGGCTACGCTCAGCTTCTCGTGCAGCTCACGCCACAAGGCCTGAATCCCCCACGTATCTTTCAGATCAAAGCTTGCCCAAAACTTGGGGCTTCCGGGCACTTGCAAGCGGGCTGCAGCTGCAAGGCCGGCAGTGCCACGGATGTCCAGGGAAGCCGGAAAATGCCTCTCACAGCAAAGGCTTCCAAGAGTTGAGTCGCGGTGGAGGGGAAGCCTCTCGGCTGCATCCCGAATCCGGAAGGAATGGGTCTTTGTCACCACCAGATCCGAGCGAAGGAAGATGGCACAGCCGTCCTGCAGGGCTCTGAAGACGAAGACCTGGAACTTGCAACTTGCAAGGCTCCTTTGGTGGCAGATCCTCGTTCTGCAAAATCACGGCCTCTGGCTCAGTTCCGGCGCTTTCCGAATGCCGTGCCATGAATGCCATTCCTCACCAAGCGCCACCGGGATGCGCAGCGGTAGCCCTGCAGGTACCTCTCGAAGGTCTCCTTCGCTGCAGGGTCGAACTCCTGAGCACGGGAATCCGACGAGAAGAGTCCCTCGGAAGGTCGGAACACCAAAAATTTCCACCTGCAAGCAGGCGATGTCCGGCGCCAGTCGTGAGACCAGCTCTGCAGCTCTCTGCAAACCTCAAGGCCCGGTCTCTTGGTGCCGACGCCGGGGCCCCGCATGGCCCCGCTTCGGCTTCTCAGACCGAGGGACGATCGGCCCAGAAGCCCTGTGCAGTTTGAGACTGTCTGCTCCGAAGCCTCCGACAGCGGGGTACGGCAATCACTCGATTACGAGATGGGGTGCCCGGGCAGCCTAAGCGGTAGGTTTACTGCCTAGGGTTGTAGCATAGGGAGCCCGGCACGCAGGCGGGGCCCGGGCCTTTTGGCTGCAGCGCTGTGCAAAACATTGTAGCTGAGCACCGAAAACCGCATGGCGTGGAAGGCCGCATTTCCTTCATGCTCTACAGAGAGAGTGCGATGCGCACATGGGCGTCAGAGTGCTCATGCGCAGTTCGGGAATCAGGGCATCAGATGCACGTTGTCCAAAATGCTCCTGGTCCGAGTCCAGTGAAGGCTCTTTGCAAGGAGCCCTAAACCCTAAACCCTAAACCCTAAGGGTAATCTCCCGAAGACCCAATTGGTATCCGCTGCCCACTCTCAAAATGCAACTGTCTACTTCAAGCGGCTGCAGCATCGATGGAGATGGTGACAACCATGTGAGAACGTGAAACATTCTCGCTCTGCTTTTAGCCTTGGGGCTCAGGAAAAGAGTCCAGCCCCCTAAGAGTTTCAGGGCATTCCGACAGTGAAGGGCCTCTATATGTATATATATATATATGTATATAGACAATACATACATATTTATATGTATATTTACATTTATATTTGTGCTTTTTATCTTTATTTTTTATATGTAAAATAAGAATATATACATATATAGTTATTTATGTATTTATCTATTTATCTCTCTCTCTCTCTCTCGCTCTCTCGCTCTCTCGCTCTCTCGCTCTCTCTCTCTCTCTCTCTCTCTCTCTCACGAATTCTGCCAAGCCCTAGGGTCCGGCATTAGCCATTTATTGGGAGGAACTGTTTGTGCACTGTGTATACCATATGCCACATTGTTGACTTGCGGCTGCACGCACAGGCGGTCTTGACAGAAGCCTGTAGCACTGTGGCTTACAGGCAATTTCGATTCGGGATGGGCAAGAGAAAGTCCCCGTTAATACTAGGATATTTGGCGACCTCTGAACAAACCTGCGCCATGCACACCGACAAGTCTGAGGGTTTCTATGCGCCGCACGAGCAGCCGCCTCGCACCCAAAGCAGAGCCTGGCATCTCTCCCGCTCGATCAAACACTGGCGATGTCCTTCAAAATGATCAATGCGGCTGTGCTGCCCATTGGGTTCTCGGCATTGTCCGTGTAGGACGCCAGCCCCTCAAGCTAGCAGATAGTAACTTCGAAGATTGGCGAAACGCTCAAATGCCCAGGACCGCGGCTGAGAGATAGAGGAGCCCGCCAATGGCCCCGAGGCCTTGCAGGGGGTGCCGGCCAACAAAAAGAAACCCCCCCGTTTTTTGAAGCAGCCCAGGGCCCTCACCGAAGCTAAAGGCAATGCTCACACCGTACCTTCGACTCGCCAAGGCCAGAAGAGAAGGGATGGTGCCAGGACTATGCGAAGGACTCCAGGCGAGTCAAAGCTCCATGCAGCGGAGGCATCAAGAACCGTGGCAATTCGAAATGGACCGCTTGGGTCAGGCGTTCTGGTGTTCAGCTGCGTCTGGTCTTTCGAATACGAATCAGAGGCTTCAGGATTTGGGGTTTTGCATGTCAGACTACCCACCGCAAGTTCAAGACAGGTCTGCATAAACAAGCTCGACCAGAATAATCACTCGACACTGCGCCCTGCAGCAATGAATTGTTCACGCTAACCTACAGCAGAGAGCCTAATTGCATCTGGCTGGCATCATCCGACATGAAAACTCTGGGACTGCTCGATATCGACACCGACGATGCAGCATTCGCAATGTCTCCATGCCCCGGTGCAGACTAAGGTAGGCCTAAGGTAAGATTCTGGCGCGGCGTAGGTGTACACAAAGCCGATGCCACTTAACCTCTAGATTGCACAGTTCGGAAAGATGCCGGCAGCAGAATAAGGAGAAAACAAGCTCCCAGCGCTGCAGTGATTCCAAACATCCGCACCTCAGGGCTCCACCGAGGAGGAAGAGATTGGACCAAGTGGAACATCTGGGGCGAGAGCCTTCGTGTCCTCGTAGTCCTGACAGGCTGGCGTGTGATGGCTCGAACTTGGACTTGCCGTCCCTCTCTCGGTCCTTCTTTCTATCTTCTGGACCTTGGAGCCCAAAGCCAGGTACCGCGGTCAGAGCTATGGGCTTTAGATCTCAGACTCCGGCTCCTCCTCACGATCGTCTTCTTCAACCTCAGCACAGGACCACATGGCGAACTTTCTTCTTTTTGGCCTTATAGGGGGCCTTTTTGAGGTATGGGCCACTTCTTGTTCTCCTTGCTTCTCTGCAGGCTACGTTTCTGGAGGTCTGCGAGGTAGTCTGCCACTCCTGGGGCCAGACGGGCTCACAGGCGGGGGGGGGGGAGCGGGAAGACAGGAGAGCGCCGCCTTCATCCTCTCCCTCATCCTCTGCCTAACGTCAGGAGCTTGTGTCTCCCCCAGAGAGCCCAATACCCCTTGATTAAGGAATATACCTTAAATCATAGTATTAAGGCCCCTATAATTTAAGGCATATTCATTAATCAAGGGGTATTGGGCTCTCTGGGCCGGATCTAAGAATCTACGAGTAGCTTCTATAGCACATGAAGGCAGATGCCTCTGCCTCTTCGGCAGCTTCTCGCGCTTGGCTGGTGCCGTGGGCCGCACGTGGAGCGGCCGGGGCATTTGCCAGACTCGGAAAAGCTCTTTCGCTGGATTTGTGCAACAACAGCATTAGTCCAAAGTCGGATTTTGCCGATCGTTCCAGCGAGGCCGGGACAGCTCATCGATGCTTCTTCCGATCTCCAGGTTTCCACCAGCACCTGGAAACGAAAAAAGCACTTGACTCGTCTAGAGCTTAGACTCTAGGCTCTAAACACTCTAACCCTGGCTCGGGCTGTGTGCATTGGCAAGTTGGCCTCTATGACGCTGTGGCATTGCTGGTTACTGCTACAAGAATCAACCCGTTTCGTTTCCGTCAACCCGGCAACCTCTCCCTTCCGTCTTGCCTGGGCCTCTTTTCCCTGCATTCTACCAGTCTTAGAGGCCTCAGCCCGTTTTGCCGGGCTCTTGGGCCCGAGCTTGGCGTCTCCTTCTTCGGAGCTGGGGCTTCTTGTGGCAGCTCCAGCCTCCGATCGCATCGCGACTCCATTTTAAGGAAGACTCGAGTCTCGGTGCTCGGTCTTCGGCTTCTCCAAGGCCTGACGGGCACAAAAAAGGCAGCTTCGGCGAAAAGAGCGGCGAGTGCAGAAAAAGCAAGGGCCCACCCCGTCGTAGCGGCGCTTCAGGACCTGCAGGAATCGTCCCGACTCTCAGACCCAAGACAGCTCCAGATGCGCCCTAGGGCCCAATAGGGTGCCTCTGCATCAGGGCTTTCTTTTTCGAACTTCTTGCGGTCTGTCTCCTGATCAATATACCTGGTTTCGCTGACATCACGAAATGCTGCCGCACATGCGGCACAGCACCGGCGTGAGCAAAAACACCCAAGCGAACTGACAGATGCGCTCTCACATGCAGGCGGGACACCACATCGCAGACAAGGCGAGATTCTTCGCATTTTCGGTCGAGACAGTGATGAGGTTGTCGGGCTGTGCGGGGCTCGAGTATGTGTGCATGCAGAGGATGCACTTCACAGCATAGCACAGAGTGGCTCCCTATAGTGCACGCCGCGCACCATCGACCATGTCTTTCAGAAAGGACTGCTTGACATGGCCTCGTCGCCCTCTTTAGCATTAATCGCCTTCAGACGATCCCGCATCTTCCTCGATCAAAAGGATCAGGCAATCGACTCACGGCACCCGTGGCATCCCTCAAACTCGGGATTCTGCAACGTGAAGCCGTCGTCGCCAGGCTCCAGCTTTCGCGGCTGAGCACAGCGTGGAAGCGGACAGGAGCAACAAAGCGTGAGCACGAGGGTTTGGGCTCCGGCCAGCCGAGGGCTTCACTTGAACACTGGGTTAAGGCAAGAAAAAGGGGCCTGGAACACCTGAACTTCAAATCTTCAGGTCCTAGGAAATGAAACTTGGTGCCTAAAGCAACACAATCGCTCTGAGCTTTCACCGTGGCAACAAGCAACAATTACGACTGCGAACAAAAGCTGCTGCTGCGACACTTCCGTCGATACTGCGACTCACTCCTCCCAACACTAATCCGACTACGCTCCTCAAACTCCTCCCAAACACGAAGACTTCTCCTACTTCCTCCTCATATCCTCGCCTGCAGAGGGCTCCCAACCAGAATTGGCTTAGTCACGCGGGCCGGGAGCCCGCGCCGGCTTCTTCTGCGGCATCTTGAAGACCAGAGGCTTCCAAGGCTCCTCAGCTGATAAGCTCAAAAAGCCAGACTCGGCAGGAGACTCGGTGGCCCGGTAACAACCCGGCCTGCGCCGTTGCCTTCTTGGGCCCAGCCTGCCGGCGCAGCAAGGGGGGGGGGGAAAAGGGGGGGGCCCTCTCACGGCTCTGTCTTAAAGAGGCGCCTGGCCTGGGCCTGTCGCAGGGTTGCCGGCCTCTGCACTGCAGCGAAGAAGACGCAAAAAAAAAAAAGGAAGCACCAAAAACCCTCGCTCGGCACTGCAAAAAAATGACTACGCCATGCTAAGCCATATACCTCCTCCCCGGTGCAGCACGCAGAGTGGTGAAGGCCGTCGAGACGAGAAGCGTGCTCATGCACGCTACTAGAAGGCCTCAGTGCTGCAGATTGGCGTGAGGTACAGGCAGCTACTTGGCTCACGATTAATAAAATAAAATAATTATAACTTTATAGCATAACATAATATAATATAATATAATATAATACAATGAAAGAGAATATGATATGATATAGTAAGGCAACTCGACAGCCAGCTCAACACTCGGACGCGCTTTGCTGAAAGCAGGCACGGCGGGGAAGTCGACAGAGTGTGGTGCAGCTCCGAAGCTACTGTCAAGCTCACTACTCCTCGTCGTACCTTGGATCTGCTGGCATCCACTCTTGAAGTAAAGATGGACCACATCTGAAGAAACGAAGAAAACAAATCTGAGCTTTGCATCGGTGCTGTGGGCTAATGCCGACACGACGGATGGCTTTTTCAGCCGCCCTCTTTGCATCCGAGCTGACGGAGTCTTTGGCCAGCTTGTAGGCTTTTTCGGCCTCATCTCGGGCAAGCGCCGGCTCTTTCTTCCTGGAAGCTTCAAACCTAAAGATCTTAGTGCTTAGGGGCTTCGGGGCTTACGGGGTTTAGGGTTGGCGAATTTCCGCCCAAAACTCTTAGGTCTGCGCAGGTTTACTGAGTCCTGAAGTGCAGCTCCGAGCTGAGGGACAGAGCTTTCGCCCCCTGGGACGGCTTGGGGTTCAGGGTTTGGGGTTGAGGGCTTGGGGCTCATGGTTCAGGGCCTTGGGGCTCGAATTCTAGGGTTATATACTCACATGTACAAAAACACAAACAGACAGTCGGGGAATAGCGTTGCAGAACCTACGAACGTACTCCTACACAGACCCTTCTGCATATGTACATAGATGCATCTTGAAGCACACACACCTGCCACAAGTGTCTAGTGTACTCCTTTGCTTCCAAGCATATCTTGACTTCCTGCCTAGCCATGCATATTGGTCCTTCTAGAACTGATCGTGCCGGAAAGCTGATGCAAACATTCCGCATGACATGGACCATCGGTACATTCAGCAAGTGCATGCCGAGAGGACGTAAGCTGTAAACATTATCTGATTGCAATTCTCGAACCGGATCTCCCGGGGAGCACCTCACAACATTCCTCAAGCGAAACAGGCGAATCTTCGTGAAACTAACAGAAAATCGAGCGATTCAGTTGTTCTTGCATACATACATGCATACAAGCATATGTACAGACATGCATACATACGTACATGCATTCACACATTCATGCATACGTGCATACATCTGTGCCGGTGTGTTATTTTCCTACCAAGAGGCCGTTGCCGCCCTCGCCATTCTGTTTGCTGACATCTTTTACTTATCGGCATGTACCTCCACTCCTAGCACCCCAGACACCGCAACCCAAAGACCGCAAGCCCCAAACCGTACAGCCTTCCAAACCCACACAACCCTTAAAGCCTACAACCGTAAAACCCTAAACCCTAAACCCCAAAGCCCTGCGCTCTTCTGCTTCGGAAGGCGCTGTGGTCTTGTCCCCGATCCGCTCGCTGAGCGAAGCAGCCTCGGCTGTGGCAGCCAGCGCCTGGTCCCACTTGCCCACGCCTGGGCGGCTCTCAAAAAAAGCCCAGGCTTGGGGAGAGTTGAAAACCCTGTGAGGGGACCTTCTGCTGGATCAGAATAGGGCTTTGAGGCCCATAATGCTAATGCTCTACGTGTTAGAAAGAAAAAGGAGCCCCCAACAAAAAGAGTATAGGTATTTATTGAAAAACTTCGGGCTTGAGGCCGAGTGGCTCGCTTCGACCTCGGCGACCACGAAGAGGCTCTTCGCAATGACTGCCTCTGCCGCAGTGTGGTGGACCCAGGGCTCGGGACTCTAGACCCAACATGATCCCAGATCACCTCATCGATGAGTTTATGCATAGTAGCAAAGACCGAGACGTTCTCCTATGGATTTGATTTCATTTGGGTGCCTGTAGGCTTTATGAAACTATGCTGCAATGCCTGTTGGCCAAGGCTTGAACAGGAATGCAGGTCAACATGGCATTTGCAGTCTGGCGTCCTTGTCCTGTAGTCTGCGAGCCAAGAGAACACCATCTTTCGCAGGAGTCATGACCTTGCTCAAGCTCCGGAAGACAATCCTGAGCTTGCCCGTAGCTCGGGCACATGCACAAGACCTGCTGCCGATGAAAGGCACGCAGGAAGTTGCAAAGCAGAAGGCGCATCGCAGCAGGGATCGGCATCACAACACACTGCCAAGTGTCTTCTGAGCCTCCTTCTCCTGCAATCCTTCGACCAGCTTACCAACGACTTGCGCCTGCATCTGAGCTTCCCAGCCGAGCATCTCGGTCAGCGCATACCTGTCGCCAGCCTGAGAACTTTGGAAAGGGAAAGAAAGACACTGGCCAACTATACCTGGAAAACACCAGGAACCGGCCTTCTTGCAAAAGACAACTGCTTCGCTCGCGTTTCTTGCAGCCTCCTCGGGCTTGTCCTGCTCGCAACATGAGTTTCCCACCTTCTTCACCGCCTTGGCGACCTGCTTCGGCTCACCAGCTTGCCGGAACATCTTCTCAGCTCTGCAAGCTTCTGCTTCCGCCTCCTCCGGCTCTTGTCGTGAGAGGTAGATGTCCGACAACGCCAAATGAGCACTCGCCATTCCCATCTCATCCCCAACGTCATTGAACGCGGTCATCGCATCGTTTGCCAGTTGGAACGCATCGCGGTTGAATCGGCGAGCGCGGCTATCGACACGAACAAGCTGCTCGCGCGTCAGAACCTCAGCGAGCTCCAGCATGGCCTGTGCCTCACGGCTTCTGGCACCCACATCGCGAAACAGTCGGCGCCGGTCCTTGAGGATTTCAGCAGCCTTGCTGTCATCCCCCAAATGGATGAAGCACGTTGCCAAGGAAGGTAGGCACTCTGCTTCAAGATACTTATCACCCAAAATTTGCAGCTGCCGTCTCGCCTGCCTGCAAGCGGGGCCCAGTGCTGGCTGCTGGACGAAGCCAATGACTGCAAAAGACTTGGAGACTGACATCTTGCCAGAACCGCATCCCCCACAGCAAGCAACCCTCGAAGACTCCAGCCCATGGAAGCAATCAAAATCGACGACAAATCGACAAAACGCCAGTGCACAACCAAAGGGCAACTATAGAACACACACACACACATTCACACCCACACCCTCGGCTGACATGCAGCTCAAACTGTCCAGCTTGCAGTCGGGACGCTCCGCCCAGTCGCGGGCGGATTCCACTTGCTTCCTGGTTTTCCGAGCCAAGTGCAGGCTGGAAACGAGCTGAAGTTCTCTGCCCAGCCATTCTGCCGCACACAGAGTCCGAAGCGAGGTGAGCGTCTTGTCGGCGATTATCTGAGCCTACTCCAGGAGTGTGGAGTGGTACTTCTAGCAGCTAACAACTATGTGATGTTTGTTAGAGGCTGCGATTGGGAAAACTTCCTGTCTGCAGCTAGAAGATATTGTCAATTCGCCGTGGCGATTTAGGAGAATACCGGGACGACACGCCCATTATACTCTCAACGAACCGACATGGGCCTTCGCACGATCTGGTTCCGACATCATCTCACGAAGAGTTTCCAGCATGATGTCGCGCACGATGAGACAAGGTCGCAGGGCTCCCACTCTTCTGCAGTTCTTAGCATGCTCGCGCACGGCTTCCAGCGCCGTCTGGCGGGAGCTTTCCGACAAAAGGGCTTTGACTTGAACTGCCAAGCTATATTCGGCCCATCCGTGCCAGCATCCATGTTCCAGAAACAGGGAGCAAGCCTCTGCTGCAGCAGCTGCAGCATCACGTGGTCTGCCTCCTTTCTCGTGAGAACTCAAAGCCAGCAGGTACAGCAATGCAGAAAGAAGCCTCGAATCCCCTACCTCCTGAGCCAAGGGCAAGGCCTCTTTGACGAGTGAAATAACTTCGAAGTGCTTTCGCTGAAGCTGCGCTGCAGCAGCCAAAAGGAAGAGAGCATTGCACTCACCGTGCTGGCTTCTCAGTGCACGAAACGTCCGCAGTGCTTCAAGACCAAGCGACTTCCCCAAGTGGATCTCGTGTCGCTTCAAATGTACACAGGCGAGGAAGACATTGGTCAAAGCCAGCCCTGTGTCCTCGCCTCTTCGCCGGAAGAGTCGTTTCGCGTCCTGAAGACATCGCACAAATGTATGGCATCAACAAAAGCTGACAGTGAAGCTTTGACGGAACATGGGAAAAAATGTCCTCACCAGCCTGTAGAGCACCCGCAAGAGATTGCTTCTTATCACACATGATCTCTGCCCGAGACAACGAAAGCACCATTTTGGGAATGTCGTTGCCATGAAGCTCAGCACGTGCAATTTCTTCGTCCACAAACTCTGTGGCGACGTCTAAAAAATGCTCGCGGCAGCCTCCCTCAAGACCGACACGACCACAGGGCAGCGCAAAGGCTTGCGCTCGCAGTGCATGTACAAAAAGTCTTGCACTAAAAGCTGCAGACAAAAAGTCTCCAGACACGTTGAATAACAGATAGGATTCAGCCGCAGCATGTTCTGCATCCAGAAAGTCGTCGGTGCACTTCGCGGTCATCAAAGCACGCTCTGCAACAGAGAACAGGAGAGCAGCCGCTCTCCGACTGCCAGAAATATTTTGTGCATCGGCAAGACTAGAGAAAGACTCTGCCAATCCATCAAGCAGCGTACCGGCCGCATCCAGCAAATGGAACCCAGGCGGTGTTATGTAGGTGGTCACGTCCATTCTTTCGGCGGCATTTCTGTTGAAAACCTATCTGCTACCAAGGTGTCCAGTGAACCAATTCTGCAAACCCAAGGCACTGAAGAATCATTAAAAATCATTAAAATTTGTCAACTAAGACCGACTTGGGCTTTTGCTGTGCAATTCGGCTTGCTGTTAGTTAAAGTGGAAGCTCAGCCGACAACCCACTCGACAACATCGCCAGCAGCAGGCGCTGCGCCTTCGCAGACAACAACACATTGTGCAACAGACACACACACACACACCAACACACACACACACACACCAGCACACACACACACACACCCACCAACACACACACACACACCCGCGCGCGCGCGCACGCACATGTTGAGTCGAAAACATGCGCCCCGGCGCCTCGCTGGCCACGAAAAGGGCTGCGATGTAGGTTGCAACATGTGTGCGTCAGCGATACAAAAGTACACAGTCCAACCGAATGATGACCGCGGGTTGCTGGAAGTGTGGCAAGTCGAATGGTGAGGCTACAACACTTTCATTTTGAGCCACATGTTGTCCGACCCTTTCAGCATGCGGCAGAAGTTGGAAACATCAATTCAAGCTGTCTGGCTGTTGCTGGCCGAGCTACCACAACCAACTTTTGCTTAGGTTGCTGATACGCAACTTAATATGGAAATGATGGGTAACCTGCGAAAAACAGTCGTAAAAAATACAAACATCCGGGCCCCATTGCGCTCGAGGCCTCCTCGACAAGAGGCGGTTCGGCTCCTCACCCACATTTAGCTTCATCTATTTGACTACCAAATGGTGGGAATCCATCCCATACAAACACTATACACCAAAAAAAGTTTTGCAGCTTGGGTTCACACTTGAGAGTGCGACTTTGACAAAGTGAGGCGAACTTCATCGAAATTGTGCTATCAGTGTGGCAAACGCAATCGTGGTCAAACGATGCTGGCGATGATGACACCGATGATGGCGAGAAACAGAACAATCACAGACACGCCACGGTTCTAGATGGCCCGGCACTGCTCTAGCAGCTTTAGCACTGAAGAGGCAAGATGGCAAGTCCACGCAGCGGTGAGAGTACAACGGTCGGGTTAGGACAAGAATGGGTGGGACAAAGAATCCCACTTCACTGCTTTCACCAGTGAGTGGGAAAACGGGAAAACGGCAACGGGATCATCACGCACCACTGTGGAAACCCCAACCCTCCAACCCTCTACCAGGTCAGAGAATCCAGCAATGCAAGACGAACCTTCCCCTGCTCCTTCATTTTGAGATGTCAGCGTTCTTGGGTTTCAAGGCCAGGCAATATTGGAGCCGGTCGACCCAACCCAATCCCACTTCAAAGAAGCGAACCAACCCGGCAGCCATCAAGACACCCAGAGAAACCAAAGAAACTGTGCGTTCTCTAGGTTGGTACGAAATGG